TTGATGCGAGCTTGATGGATAATGGTGTAATTACATTAATTATCTCTGTTGGTATTTTGCCAAGTTCATAATTAACTGTCAATCTTTGTTGCTGAAATTAATATGAATTGTTATGTATACTTTAAGCTTATAAAAGAGAAGTAAAAGCTACTTTTATTTCGCTAAAAGCTGTTAAATATCTTTTGTGATGATATAAAAATTGTAACATTTTTTCTAATTTTCACTTCAACTTTAACTAGGTCAAGAAACTAAAAGGTCTTTAAGATTATGTATATGACCAATACATGAAATATTTTAATCTGCTGGCTTTATATGAAATGTTCCATAGCGAATCATAATATATTTAAGGGAACGTAGAAACTCGTCGTAGTAAAGTCCGTCACCGAACTTAAAGTTCTTTCACGAAAAATTGCGACTACTCGAGTTACACCAGAATTTTGTCTTGACAAGTGCCATATAACATTAAAAGATAACATCTTTCAAATGTATCGTTAAGAATAAAAAGGTTTACAGTCTACGGCCTAATTGTTTATTTTTAAAATCTATCGCAATTTCTTTCAACGATATAGTGATTTATGGAAACATGTAACGTTTAATTAAACGATGATTTAAATGATCAAGAAGCTAAATAAAAGCTAATGTCCGCTTTCACTAAATTTAGGATTCGCCTATATTTTCCGCCTATATTAATATTTGGGAATCGTTTAAGGTAAAAACACACTTCTTCATTAACATGTCTAATATTATAATATTCGTAATGCTTTGCCTTACGCTAGGCATGGGTGTAAGTAACTTAATTTTATTTACGTCTAACGCTTGCCTCGGACAATTAGAATTAAAGTATAATTGACGATATCTTTAAAAAAAAAGTCACGTTCGTAATCAAATGTAGAAATAGTTTTAGCATGAAATTCGTGAATATTGTTCAAATGTCTAATTGAAATAGATCAGGCCCTGATTATAAAACTTACCCAAAATGTCGAATTGTAAGGCACTTCGTTGCTAATGTAGTGAGTTTAACGAGATATTTCTATCGTTATAAAAGGTTGCTGTTAACCTAAATAAAGGTGCCGAAGTTTGAAACAGAAATAATGTGTAAAGTGACATATAAATTTTTCAGGACTCCATATGGGAACATACCGCTGGGAAATACCGGCATCTCGCCTTTGTTTATTAGATTCTGCGTAACTTCGTATCACTTTTTCCCTCGCGTGGACCGTAAAATTAGTAGATATATTACTATTATCCGATACGGACAATAGTAAAAAATGCTCGGTTCAAAAAACCTTCGATAAATCGTTATTGAATAGAACTAGTGTTGTCGTTATTCGTTTGCATAACGAATACCTTATCGCCGACGCCGGTATAGTGTAAACATGTGCCGATAGTTTGTGGAAACAACACTGAATATTTATATATTATATCTCTATTTATTGAACCTGGGAAGGTAATAGAATTTATTAAAGTAAATAAATTGGTATTATGTTTAAAAAATATTAAAAAATATGATAATGTATTCAGTATAGACCGTTAAGCACGTGTGAAAATGAAAAAAAACTAAGCGACAGATGTTTAAGAGAATCAGCGACAAACTTTGCAACGGTTGCGAGCGTAATAATCTTTTTACATTCATTTTTATTAGGTTAAAGAACAAACACAAACGTTAAGTTTGATTTCAACTTTATGTTCTAATTGGAAACTTGATAATCTTTTGACCTCTAATGACATTAAACTATCTACTAGTTAAAGCGATAAGGTTCTGCCAATATAGAAATGAAATACATTGAATTAAATAGTTTTCATGCTATAAAAATATACGGTTTCGAATGCTAATGGTAACCCTCTAAAAAAAAAACAAGTTTTTTAATGTTTTCGCACGTGATGAGTTTCTTTCTATTTTAGAAGAAGGTCGGCAGAAAGTAATTATTAATTTAATTACAATATACAGAGTATATTTCCCTAGAGTTTAGTATAGTCTTGTTAACAGAACATTATATTTACAACTAAGATAAAATTATTAATTTTAATTGAATATTAATAATTTAGGGGTATCATACTAGCAACTTAAGAGTATTTATCTTTATGTTCTCCGATGTTACTAGAAAAGAAGAGAAAAAAATGGACATGTATACAGGAATGCACACAATATTAAAATGAATGCGGATTTTGACATTATATTGTAACCCATCAAGTGTGAGTAATTATATGGCAAAATCTTAGTTTTTAATTGATACGCATCCTAGTTTGAATACAATACAATTGCTTAGTCCAATTATACGTGAAATACCAAATAATTGATAACGTTGTAAAGAACCATCACACAGTGACATTAAATAACTAGTACGGCTATCAATAAGTACTTGTTTATTAATAAATTCACAGTGTGATGACCCTTTACAACGTTATAAATCATTTTGTCTTACATTTCAGACACGTACAACAAAAATTTTGTTATCAACATTAATAATCTTTAAACGTGAAACTTTGTTCAATACTCAATAATAGGCTTTTTACCTTCCATACTGGACATACTGTACTACACTGTATTATATAAGCTATATAAAATAGTTTAAAATTAATAAGATTTATATTAGCCACAGCAATAACATCTTCACATGCAAATGACTTGATGGATTCTATGAGATCTTACACACAGATAGTTTTGAAATCTAAATCAATATATTTTTAAAACTTGGAAATATGCCCCGTGTAAATCTCTGTCCGAGTGTAAATTCGAACTAACCGCTAACCAAGACGAAGTTAAATTGAATGACATAAATATTGTCCTCAATCTATTAACCTTGATAAATTAACGAAACAGGTCAAGCATTTCCAAGTGGCAACAGGAAATCTTGACTAGTAGCGTTAAATCCAGTTAACTCGGCGGGTCGCCATGAATATGGATCTGGTAGATTCTGTGTCCGTGTCACGTGATCCCGGCTCCCGTTAATCTGCGGGAATAATGCCCACCGTGAATTCCTTTGTTTCAATTGGCAGTATTCAGTATCCACTCTGGGATCACGACCATGAGTAATGTGAATATTTAAGTGAAACCCTCTGTTTTGTGTTCATGAATTTACGAGGTGCTTTTGGTCTGAGAGTTTATTCGATATTTGCATATTCGGAAATCAATGAACCAATTTTTGTTTTGTTCCTATCAGACGTTGTAGATTTTTAAGAAATAAAATCATTATCGTAAGGACATTACTTGTTGAAAAGGTCACTTTTGACGGGTTCGATGCTTGGGCGAATTAAAGAAAGGCTGACTAGTATGGGAATTGATTTATTTTATGGTAATAATGGGTAAAGAAAAGAAACTATAACAAACAAAAAATGAATATAAAACAGTTTAATTATTTATTTTTGGGTTTCGCTATTCATTTCGTTTAATCATGACGACTTCATTATTATTATATTTTTTATTTAGATTTATAAGATTTATAATAACATGTTTACATCAGAATTTTTTTACGAACTCACATTCATGATTGATTTGTTAAAAATTTAAATTACAAAAGGTGAATAATAAAAATTAATGATGTTTAATATAAAAGACCAAAAAGTTTGCATGTTGAAACCTAGGACGAAATAAACGGTAGTACGGCACACCGTTAAAGTAGTTGTCCGTCTGTTAAGATACCTTGTCATAAATTTCTAGGTTCACTTATTCGTAACATAAGAGCGTTTATACAGTACGTTTTGAAAAATTCAAGGGAATCTATTCCTAATGCAATAGCCACGTTGAACTTCATGCAATTTGGCAAATAAGAATGGCTTATAGCCAAAATGAAGACTAAAATCCGAAACCCGTTAAGTATTTACATCATGCAACATTGTGATATGTGTGTGTTTACAGATGCGATTGTTTCTCTGATCTTAAAACCTATGGCACAGAATATAGCCTGTGCCTATTGCGACAACAATATAAACCTTGTATTCCTTAGCTGTGCCTATTGCGACAACAATATAAACCTTGTATTCCTTAGAGAAATGTAAAATGTATAGAGAAATGTATAGTTTATTGTCTTCACTAATTTTTTATGATGTTATGTGACAGCCTGATTCTGTACTTTAGAAATCATCATTCGATTTACCATGGATTAATTTGTTGTTTATACCGCTCCAACTTATGGAATTTAAATGACGTAAAGCAACGTGCATGATGAAGTACCACGATGTATCGAAAATCAGTTTTAAGAGTATGCCTACTGACTTTTAATTAGTTGTTAAAATTTTTAATCTTATTCTAAACATTTGTGTTTTGTGCGCAGGAGCGATGTGCTTGCAACAACACTATCCGCATTGTACGGAAAACTGCTGGTAGTGATGGGTGTAGCGTTTCCAATGGCGGAAGTTATTTCTACATACATACCACCTTCTTTCTATGAGGTAAGTAAAGCTTTTAATAGATTTAATAACGTAAACTACAGCAGCATCATCACATTATCATAAATTATCGGGAATCGAATCCAGAACCCAGAAATATCTCAGAGATGGCGACACTTTAAACCCGGCGTGCGCGCACGTTGCAATTACTAAAGAAATAGTAATGTTAAATCTATTCATATTGTTTTTTGCTAAACAATCACAGTGTTATTAATAAGGGTTTAGCGTTGGAGTTAATTTACGCTGAGACTGCATTTATTATTAGTCAAAATTCATATTAATAAATAGAGACTCGGCAAAGGTTAACCTAGTAAGAGGTTCTACGGGAGTTATATTTACTTCTAGGAGGTAGTAGGTTTGCTAACTCTGTTTATTATGAATTTGGACTAATACTCAAATTGCCATTTAAGCGTAAATTTAATATGACGCTAAATCTTGTTTATTAATAGCACTGCCAAAGTTTGAGTATAAAAGTGTAGCTTGTGATCCATGTATTTGATTTTATTTCGCCCCTCACATAATCGATATAATGGTATGCCGATTGACCCTTAAGTATATAAAAATAAAGTTGAAATTGTCAACAGGGTTTCTACTTATATCTATACATCGGCAGTATGGTTTTTCTTCTCTACATGTATGCGGCCCTGGTAAGAGATCGGTCGCGGTCTGCTGCCGATACAACAGTCGTCGCTAGTACGTATAATTTTTCATTGTCATGTTTGTGAGTATGAATGGCAATACATACATACAAAAATGGCATACAAAATATGCATGAAAAATCCGAGAGACTTCACTTGGAGAAGACATTAAAAGAGCCGTAAAGTCATTAGACAAGTCAAGATCACTGCGAAATGGGCATAAAAACTGTTTTGTTATTAATTACTTGCAAGCAAAAATTACAATTTGTAAAATTATTTCATAAACTCGGCTACAAAATGATTCACATATTTGTCAATTAGCTTTTTAAAAAGGTAAGTAACTCTCTGATTTTTCCCATTGAGAAAATTTTATAAACATATTTTTTGTCTGAGACTGAAATACAGTATAATACGTAGTCTGTCAAGGTAATGGTCGCATGACTCTCTGGCTATAGATTTATGAACATTTTATTTATTAGATCAATGAACATCGTTAATATTCTTTTATTATTTTAAATTATTAATTAAATATTTGCTTATTTCACTTTTCAAAATAAATTTCTATGTATATATTTTTATATAAAACAAGGAATGCAGTCTATCTACTTTGTTATGATCAACTTAGTACGCCTAAACGAGCCATAAGATATGCTACCACTTAATAACCATTATTCAAACAGTAGCACTACACAAAATGCCACAATGGCTTTTATTGTTACTGTAATATGGATCAAAATAGATTATAGAAATTTTGTATATATCTGCAATGTTGTTAAATTTACTTAAGACGCCGACGTCTAGCTGGAGTCTAGACTAGTCGTTTGTCGAATATCAACGAGTGATGACGCGTCACGTAGCTTTTATTACGACATAAGTCTGAGAATAGCTCATTTGGTCTGAGGAGAACAGATATTAAATCTCAATGGATGGAGTAAAAAAGCTAAAAAACAAAATATCAACAACGCACGTCTTGTAAGTATATAATACGAAGTGCAGCAAGGTATTTTAGACATTTGTTGTCTTTTTTCTTGACTATGTTAGCCGGTTAAAGAAGAGAGAGAAAACTTGGACTTGATTTACCGTAAAGAACTAGCGCGTAGTGTAAACTTATAGTTTGCTAGTATTTAATTAGAAACTTATCACTTATCTATCTCTACCGCAATCTATATCATTGCCGAGCGCAATGAGGTAGAGAGCTTTTCTCACTAAATGGAAAGGCCTTGTCTTTCATGTTATTCATTAGGCATCCTTAAATGAGCCCGATGGCGGAGTGGTCACGCTGCTCGGTCCGGTTGTTAAGCAACTTTTGTAAGGGCCGGTCATAGGATAGGTGACCCAGAACATATATTTTGTGCTCCTTCATACTTCGGAAGGCACGAAGTATGGAAGGCACACAATACTTCCTGGGCTTGCGTAGTGGGTAATAGCCCATTCTCCCTATTCGATTCCATCTATAGGGAAGACTTAGCCCCAGCTGTGGGAACATTAATGAGCTGGTAATTAATGAGCTTAAAGTGCTTTTGACTAAAATTAAGAAAAAAAGCTTTTAACATCAGTTTTATGTTGAAATCTTCTTTCTCGAGTAGGTATGGAAATGATTACTATCTTTAATTTTTTATGATGATATTACTATTACTACTGAAAATGTATAATTTTCAGTATGTGTGTTTTAATAAGTCGGTGTGGAAATAATAAATATGGTTTTAACATGACATAACTACGTATTTTATATTTAGTTTACTGATCTAAATTCTGATGTATTTTTGTTGTGTGTTTAATTATTTTTATTAATATTTTTATTTCTTATGAGTTTTTAATTCTCAATCTGGAGCGTTGACATTCCTATTATCTATGTCAATCAAAAGACATGATGTTACATAATTTACTGTATAAATACCATACGTATTTTTCCCCGAATAAAATACGGAAAGACGATTACTCGTAATCGCTAAGGAAAACAATGCTTTGATATGTGACATAATACCTTTTGCATGTTACACACGTTATTTACCTGTTTTATTTGAAATCCCATCCGGTTAGAGTGCGCAAAATGAAAAATGAAGTGGAAATTCGTTCACTACACAGCCACCCCAAGCTACATTTGTTATTCAAATGATGGTGCTAACTAACCTCTTTGCATTGTGGAGAGAAATGTTAATATTTGCCAACTGAAAAGCACCAACTTAAATGGAGCACTCCATTTTTAATCCTTAAAAAATATCTCATTTCTATTTTAAACATAAAAAGGGTTTTAGACGAGGAATTTTCAAATTATCAAACAAAGTTGATATATTTATAAATGGATTTTTACAACGTTCTAATGATGTTACCTTATTCAACCCAATAAATTATTAAAATATATGTTGATCTAAATAATTGACGAATTTTTCAAACACTTGTTAATTTTTCGCTACTACAGAGCGTATTTTCATCAATGTTAAGGGAATCCACCCAAACAGCCGAAAAAAATATTTTTACGAATATTTAAACTTTCTATAAAGATGAAAATTTGTTGTGATTTTGTAGTTGTGAATATTTGATCAGTTGCGCTTTCCTAATGCTATATTGAAAAATATTCTTAATAAAAAATGCTTATAAATCCACTTTGGCCCTGGCACTCTGAGATGGGACTCAAACCCATGATCTTTCGCAAACTGGGTAGAGCAGTCGCCCGGATCGCAAAAGATCATGGGACCTGTAACTTGTAATACCATAGAACCTATATGAAAAATTAAAATAAGGAGGCGAAAGATTCTCGTAATGATCGTTTTTTGAGTTGTCTACAATTTGGAATCTTGATTTCTTTATTTAAAATTAACTCACTCTTGATCTCAATTCAGACCGAAACTATTTACTCAAGTAAAGATAGATTTTAATCTTTATTGTTTTTAAAGATTAGTTACTTATATATAAATACAGATGTTCATTACAAAATAGCATATACCTATACTGTTATAAGGAACTCGGCATATTTATATTAGCACCTAATATTTGTTTAATGTAGGTAACAGAATCCGTGTGCAGTATTGAAAGTCTCCCATCACTAATGAAAATATTGAAATTCAGAAACAGATTCGAGTTCATCCCCCTCCGAGTCGGATTCGTGTTCATCGCGTACGGAGCGCAGTACAGTGACAGCGCCTCACGTGCCGCCGCAGTTTACAGGAAAACGACTCTCACTGGGCTTCGCACTCTCCAACAAAACACATCACTATGGCAGCTTCTACTTGCGAATGGGGGCTGTTGGTGAGAAAATTTTCATTATACTTAATAAATTAGCAAATAAATAAATTGAAGTTGTGTCCCTTCTTCCGTGATACCATCTGGCGACATGTTTGCCTAAGGGCTTTCAGAAGATGTTCTATCAAAATCCCGGGATAGAACCCGAGCTTCTATTTCAGAGCATACCCTTAACTTATGTGGGTGGACTATAGTTTAGTAACCTTTTCGTCGTACTAGCAGATATTAAGGTGTAGCGTGAAAATCAAAATATTTCCTGAAACTTTGATTCACTTAAGTATATCTGAGTTTTTTGAGTAGTTTGATTTTTCGATTGGAGAAAATGGACTATATTATGGTTAAAAGGATATAACAAAATTTGTTACAATACGTTGGTAGATATTTTAAATCACAAAAGTCATTTCAGTAACGAAATGCATCACCACACAAATCATTCTCGCAAATCATTGAAATCTTTTTAATTCTTATTGGGGCAACTATTTCTAGTTTTTCTGAAATGGTCTTGATGGCGTGTTAACGGATTATCGTGAACTTTCACGAAGCCTTGCGTCAATGTTTGCAGAGTAAGTGTGGATTAGTGCCAGCAAATTCTCGGTGGGTTCCCTTGTAATACCATCGAATCCGACCAACTTTATTAAATCCTCTCTAACTTCTACTGACACGGAAAGGATAAAATTATTAACGGAAGATTTGTTTAATGATATTGGAGGATTATTTTCTTGGAACTGTTTTGTTCATAGAAATATAATAAGATATGATAAATCATCGTTAAAATTTTACAGCATTTGGTATTGGATCCATGATTTATTCCGGCTTGGAGTTTGGTCAGTACTGGGAGCTGGAGAGGAATACCAATTGTCACAACGTGCTACTTGCTCTGACGCCCGCTACTAGAATGGCTTTTATCTTCATACAGATGTATTTCATCTTTCTCAATAATGAAGTAAGTAACAATTATGAACTTGATTTGAAAATTGATTAGTACATTTCATATCGAAATTATTTCTTTGAAATTAAACAATAGTATATTACATTATGTTCTCAATTCTCATTATAAAGTAACTAAGATTGTCATTCAAACACATTCGAGTGTATTGTAACAAATTAACAATAGTAACCAATAGTTTCTATTGAATTGAAAAAATAGAAGACAATCTATATAATATATATATTTTGTAGGTCTTTTCAATGGAAACGAAATTTATAATACATAACAAATAAAAAAGTGCGAAAGATTTTGTTATTATTTGTGTCTTATTTGTGTCGGTACGAAGATGATATCTGGCTTGTTGCTCTTATGCAATGCTTACGGATTGCTAGGCTATGCTTTACAAGTTAATCATTATCATTTCAAATCGAAATTTAAAATGTTTATTGTTAATAAATTATTGTAATATTTTGCTTAGTTCTTGACTTTTTTTAATTGATTTCGATAAATTAGCGCAGTAAAATAAATCAGTTCAAATCATATTGTGATAGTAAGTTCTTATGCAAATACTGTTTGTTTTTCTATACTTATTTTTTATACTTCTTAACAGAAAGTGCCTGGATGTGAGACAGATTTTTAAGCAAAAGCTTAACGTAGAGGCCTTGAATATATTGCAAGAAACATCTTTGAACTAAAAAAAATATATATATTATTTTCAGTATCGATTACCTCAATTTTATTTTCAGATGAAAGTATATAAACACAAGATAGTAGCGAGGTTCGGATTAATGCACATGGTGGGGACAAACCTGAGCGTGTGGTTGAACGTGCTCGTGCAGGAGACAAAACACGAAATACTAACGTTCTATGACCCGGAGAATAAGACCATCGGACTATCGCATAGATTGGGTAAGAGACCTTTGATACTTCGCTCATATTTATACGCGGGTATAATGGAATAAAATGCTGCTTCCTCAGCCTTCATTATTCTTCAAGTAGTAGCTAGTTTCTATAGTTTGATAAGGTAAAACACTTGTTTTCGTCTATTCGGTATCTTTATTTCATTTCTTTCTTTCTAATTTTAAATATTTTTTTTATAGTTATAATAATATTAAGCTAGCTGTTTACATTTGCCTCAAGCTGTCTGCCTGTATGTACTGATGAGAAAAAATACCTGTCACATCAAGAGTCTTTATATTATATCGCCTCTAACGAATTTTCATGTTTTTTTTTTAATATTAATAGACGAAAGTATATATGACTATATACTTCAGGCATAGTATCTCAATAGTGATGAAATATAATGTCATTAGTGGTTTTGTAAATAAAAATGAAAATTTTACTCATTCATATGAAAACCTTATTATCCAATCTCATATTGGTTTCTTCCAACAACTTTGTACAGTTAATTATATAATTTAATGTCAGTAAACAATGGTTTTTGGACAGCACTTTGTTGGTTTACATATTTCATCAACTATGAAATATGAAATTTGTTACTGCCTATTACACTATTTAAGAAGAGTCATTATTTGACATAACTTCTGTCATTATATTTAATCAATTTTGCATTTACAATGTCATACTGAAAAAATAAAGCAGGTTCGAGTCCCATTTCAGCGTACCAGAGACAAAGTGATTTTTTAAAGCATTTTTCATTAGGAATATTTTCCAGTATAGCATTGTGAATGCGAAATTGATAAAATGTATTAAGAATATAACTTAAATCACTTCAGTTTTAATAAAAGACTTGGTTTATTTAAGTTTTCAAAATATTTTATTGGCTTGAACCACCATCACGAGAATATACCTTTTAAAAAAAAAAAAACATTAAAATGGGCCACTACTGATATAAATATTGTAAAACATGCACAACAAAAAATATTTCAAGCGAAATGAAACAATTAACTAATTAAAATATTATTTATAATTTCAGCATTCCAGAAAGCATTCGCATCTTTAGGGACAGAAGTACCTCCATCACATCCAGCCGCGGCTCACCTGCGTGTCCCTCGAGGGCTTAAAGGTCCGCACCATATTTTCGAGTGTCGGCGCACAAACATCATGGGCTCACTCGTTCAGGATGCCTCACCGTTTCTCTTCCCATGCACAATCGAGTATTCTCTCATCTGCGCTGCTATTCTATACGTCATGTGGAAAAATATCTCCAAGTATCCTTCAAAAGATGTCGCTGCAGCGATAGCCAAAGCTCGTATACTCGAAGGACTAGCTTATAAAAAGTCTCCACATCTGTATAGCGTGGATTGTGCCAGAGCACACAAAGGCTTGTTCTTTGGAATACTCGTTCTAGTCCTTACAATCATATCTTTGATACTATTCTTTGTCTTAGTGTCCAGAAAAGAATATGCAACATTAGCGGTGGTGGAAGTGAATGTTTGTGAATTGGCACTTTACGCCATGACGACTTTTGCGAGCTTAGCTGGAATGGTTTGTGTCAGAAAATTAAAATACGACGGCAATAGAAATTTGGAGCTGGATAATATCCTTCTTGTAGGAGCGCAAACTGGAATGTTCATCTATGGCACTTTCACCATAATCGGTGGTCATTTCACTATAGAGAAAAATACTATCTTAATTCTGATTACGGCTCTATCGTCTTTAGTGCAGACAACTTGCCAGACAATGTTTATTTTAGACGCGAGTCGCAGGTCAGCCAAGACCCCAGAACAGCTACGAAAGAAGCCGGGCAGAGAAATCGTCACTTTCCTTTTAGTAACAAACCTAGCGATGTGGGCTATAAATACATTGGAAAAATCCAGAGCAGAATCCCACCCAGTACAGCTGCATTTCTATGGATTATGGGCTTGGACTATAATCACTCATGTTTCTATGCCGTTGGCGATCTTCTACAGATTTCATTCGACAGTTTGCCTCTGCGAGATCTGGAAGAGGGCTTACAAGATGAAGCCTGCTTACATGTAGCGACTGGCTCACCGGTACTGAAGTGCTTGGATTTAATACGTGAACTATGGTACTTTTAAGAAATAGTGGAGTAGTTATATAGTGCCATAGATATGACGGGCGGGGTAGTTGGATAAATTTAAATGTTTAAAAATGCGGGCTTCAGTCTTAAGAACGAGAATATTTTAAACTTATTAATGGTCAACATTTTAGAAATATTTGAAATACGGAGATAAAAGAAAATAGTTTATATATCATAGAGGATTCATCCACTTTTCATATTCAATATGCATTATCCACATTAGTTTCCAAGTTGACTGCTATAACGTTAAGTTATTGTATTTAAAATATTTTAATATGTTATTTATTTGTAGCTTTATGGAACGCTTTAACTATCGTAGCGATAACGGTTTCGTTACTAAACTATGGAACTTAGTGTAACAGTATTTCTCAATTGAACGGGTTGGATTTTATTTATTTAGACGTTATTTTATCTGCGATCGCAATGGTTAATGTTATACTTATAGTTCTTTAAGATTATTGTAATTTATTGTGTTCATATTTTCACCCTGTTTTAGTATGTAAGAAAATTAGAGTAGGTAACCTCATAATAATAGCTGCATAGACATTCCACTTTTTGCAAAATTTTCCTCACTGCTGCATCCATTTGTTGTAATCTCATTCAATACAAATGTCTTCCATTAGATTATTTGAATTTTTCGTTACAGTAGTGTTTCATACACTTTTTATTCTACTTTTAGAAACGTGGTTTTTATATTTTTCTTTAGATTAACTTCGGGAACAATAATTCTATGTAATTGTATTTTTTTGAAGTCTTTTTGAGTAAACGTACACGACTATTGAAATAAGGTAACTAATACATTTTACTATGAACGAAAAATAGTCTGAGCAGAAATTAGAGATTTTGTAGCGATATTTTTGTGAAAAAAAAAATAATAAGAATGTAGTGTCAGTATTTTGGATAAATTTTTTAACAGTAGCAATACTTACATACCGAGGACCCAGTAGTTAGGCAAAAAGTAACACCAAAGTTTTATATGAGTAGGTAATTATTGGAGCTTATTGACATAATAATAGAGTCCAGTGAAATGATTCGTTTAGAATTTTAGAACTCCTTTGGTAAGTGAACGCTGATTGATTATGATTGATCGATAGACTTAGATAATTCGTCCAGAAAATTATTTAATTCGAGTAATTTATTGACACAAAACTGAAACGCAAAAATAGTTATTTATCTTCGATGTCTAAATAGCGAATTAGCTTATACCATTTAAATAAGTAGCCTAGATATTCTAATTTGTCACTTCGATTTCTATCACGATGCACCATGATATTTGCGTGAGAAAAAAACGACAATAATGACACTGGCTTAATTAAAATAGTATCTTTTTGCACCATAACATTTTGTTATAGTTAATCAGGTTTGAAAGTATTTTTGAAAAATTTTTCAGAATCCACTTTGTTCCTGATGGGACTCGAACCATTTTTCATTATAAATATTTACAGTATAGCATGCAAAATTGATCAAATATTATAGTCTATACATTTAGAATGGTAAAAGATCTTTTAATTTTAAAGATTACAACCGACAAAATAAGCACTATCAATATTGTGTGTGTATTAAATTTTAATTCTTACATTTTTAATAGAATGTTTCAATTTATTGAATGCATGGTTAATATAAAATATTATACTGGAAAAGTACCTTGATAATGAAGTGGTTACTTATTTGTGGTAGTACTATGGAAACGTGCTGATATTTATTATTGAATATTTGACTTTCAAAATATATACGTAAGTATTTATTTAACCAATCTTAGATGAAAGTATAAGAGTATACTAATACATAATATATTGCTCAAGTTTTACCAGAACGGCTTTACAACAAAACGATGCCTATTAAATTATCATTTTGAATATTTTTATGAACTTTAATTGTTTAGCATTAAGATTGTTTTGTAATAAAAAGAATTAACATGATAAAGCAAAAGTCAACATTGCGTTTAAAAATCATAATTTCTGATAGGGTTTCAGGAAACGAAATTGTTTAATACGTTTATAATATATTCGAATAGTTGTAATCCTTTTTATAAATATGTATTTATATATGTAAAAGAATATAAATAAGTTACTTTTTAATACTCAGCTATGACAATTAAGCTTAAGTTATTCTGGAATACCAAATTTAAAATGGGTATAAGTTAATGTATCTCGATTTGAATAGAATACTATGGGATTTACGTCGTGGGATTTACCTTCTAATTAATAAAAAAAAGTGAGTTTGCAAAAAAATCACGAAGATAAGGTTTCAGAGAAGAAAGGTACAGAGCACAGATTAAGGGCTAGAAGCATATTTTCCCCTTAATCCACATATCCCCACTGACAAATCCCCACTGGTAGGGATTCTAAGATTTACCTATTTTACAATTATAGCTACCGGTAGGGATATATGGAATCTGTTACTCCACATATCTTAACCGTTTTTTCACTGGTTGGGATACTTGGATTTTTATTTCCATTTATCACTATCAGTAGGGATAAGTTTTTTAATATTAGGTATGATATATTAAGTATTCATAAAATAAAACGTAAGTCATGAAAACGATTTTAATACAAAGAATGTATGAGAAGGTAAATTCGTGACAAATGGTAGTCAAATTTGCACAAAACTTCATTACTATTAAAAACATAACTTCATTTGAGACAACGTTAAACATAAAATTGTACTCTGTTGCACAATACAATGTAATATTCTAATAAAGTTGTAAGTTTAATAAATTTGACTTTTGTCACAAATTTACCTTCTCATACATTCTTTGTATTAAAATCGTTTTCATGACTTACGTTTTATTTTATGAACACTTAATATGTCATACCTGATACTAAAAAACTTATCGGAAATAAAAATACAAGTTTCCCAACCAGCGCAAATCGGTGGAGCTATGTGGAGTAACATATTCCATATATCCTTACCGATAGGTAAAATTGAAAAAAAAACCTAGTATCCCTACCAGTGGGGATTTGTCATTAGGGATATGTGGAAAGGGGATATTTTTTATTCTCAATTTAAAGTAAACTATATTTTTAAGACCAATAAGGTTGTCTACGTATAAAAAAAGTGTAATTTTAATTTTAAAGATATAATGTCTGCATATTATCTAACGGAAGTTCATACAAGATCACTTTTATGATTTAGATGCGCCTTGTTGGATACGGAAGAACGTCTAATAAATAATATCGAACAAATACCTTTGTTTAAGATATACAAAAGTATTTGATAAGGTATTTGTCACTTCTGACGTCAGATTAAACAGCCGCGTGTTACTCGCGTACACTTATAAATATCCGTCAGATATTTGCCGACCCTAAGGCAGCTAGATACATTCGCTAATATAATTCACAGAATGTAAATATAAAACCTACACAGTGAAAATTAAACGATATACAATATACTTATAGCTCAAATAAAAAGCTTTCTATTCGCAATTTGAAACAGCTCAATTTTAATATAAGCACTTTTATGTAATGTACCTACCCCTAACAATTTTAATTTAAGCACTTTTATGTAATGTACAGTGGTCGGAATTAGGTAGAGTTATTTATGTTCTTACACTGATTTCATACAGCGCAAGAATAAAGTGGATATGCCTCACATCCCGAGATTAATTTTAAAGAGCAGAAAATTCCCGTGATTTTTTAAATAAAAAGTTATTTACTTTTACACAATTTAAACTACTGCACGCACGACGTTGCCAAACTTACATCAATGAAAGAAAGAAATAAAGAAAGAAGAAATAAAGAAATCTCGGGAAGGTCCACATTAATATCAACATTTCGATGCAAGTACATAAATAACTCTACCTAATTCCGACCTCTGGTAATGTACCTACCCCTAACAAAATTGTTTATATTTCTTTATTATTTAGAATCTATTTGTCACATCTAAACGCAAAATGTTAAATTTACAGTCAATAGAATCTTATATTTGTAATTAGTCGATCGTATACTTCAAAATCGAATGCTAAAGTCGGAATTAGAATGGTAATTTGACGTGTTACTGCGTGTATATAAAAGTCATAATTTATAATTGTCGCCATATTTTATATCTACATTATTAATCTACGAGTTTTTCGATCTGCTTATCGATTCTGAATTTCAATAATAAGAAGTAGTTATTCTGCTAATTAAATTAAAATGAAATAGCGTTCGATTATGAATGGCTTTTTCGTATTAATAAACTCAGAGTTCTTCGAAATATGTTTTATTTAGAACATGATTATATGTGTCTTAAATAGAAAAGACAGTACGCGCGAGCGGTTTTTTCCTGTATAGTTCTTTACGCTCTTGCGTGGATTGGCTTCAAAATGTTCAGATTATTGAACGATAGCTTAATATAAATTAAATACACGAAAGTTTACTTTTATAATAAATTTGGTTTTAACACTACAAAAGTCCGATTTTGAAGTTCGCAATCTATAATTTGTTTAGGTACATATTTAAATATAATGTATATAGATATTGGAGCATTTATTGTTTGCAATTTATTATTAGTTAATCTTACTCATTATTAATACCAAATGATATTTGTTAATCTTATGACATTTAGGACTATTTTACAGTGTTTTTGAATATTTTTAAACTGCTTAGAATTGTAAAATAATAGTGATATTAGAGTAAAGTTTTTAACTATATATATTTGTGAACTATTTATTTGTTTAGGCAGGAACTGTGGATAGCTCTAAGATTGTCTTCTTGGATGTTTAAAGTTAAAAAGCGAATAAACTCTTCTTGAAACAAATCCCAGTATATTTTATTTAAAACGAAGTAATTTCTTTCGATATCGGCTGATTCGTCCATGTAAGAATACAGATGGTGATTTTGTTTTGTATATCCATCTGTCTGTCCGCCTTTCACAGCAGTTCTGCACCGAACTACTAGATGGATTGAGTAGCTATTTGGTACACACGGCTGCAAGTACACAGGCCACAATACGGCAAATT